CACCCGGACGGATACGCGCTTGTCCGGTGACTCAGGGTGAATCGCTCATCTAGCTTGATAGGACGCGAACGAATCATGAGGTAACTTCTAAGTTAAAGTTTCACTGTTAGACCAAAGCCCGCGGAGAGAACTCGCCACTTCCAAGGTGGTTACTTGCTTGTGTATCCTTTTGTGTAATCGCGGACACTCGGAGTGGCTTCGCGCGTGCGCGTGCATGCAAAAACACATATTTACTCATACACAGAAACGCTTCTTCGTTGCGGTCAAGCATTCGCGTGTGTAGGCTTACGCACAAGTAGTGGACAGTAATATGTATAAATAGATATATATACAGAAACGTGTGTATGTGTGAATTTATATATACATCCACATATCCACGTGGTGTACGAGCAGCGTGCATTCTCGTGTGGCTAGACAGAATCAGGATATACCGGCGGATGACACAGTTGGGAACTCAAGCTGCACGTATAGCCAGCCGACCAGGCGCGTTGCAGGGCTCCGAGCTAATTATTATAATTCCCACAACAATGATCGTACATTAAAAACTAATATCGCTGATGGGAGCTGGAAATTAATCATCGCTCACTCGGACGTATTCGGTGACCCAGTGAGCCCCGGGACATGCTCTAGGAATAACTTCTCGGACGGTTCCTCTCAATGACCTTACGACCCGGGAGAATACGCGAACGGCCGGTCGGCGTAATGTGTGACGAGCGTGTGGATAAGTTTTTAATCACTCCGTTGGAGCGACGAGTGCCCTTGCGAAAAATTGCAAGCCCGGTTTATCCATTAGTTCGAATTCACAATAATTATAGTAAGCCTTTAGCTCTGAACACAAAATTGTAACGTCCTTTCTAGCGAAAAGCGTTACCAGCACTACCGGACGTCGCGATTCTAGAAATTGTACTCAAATAATGAGATTTTTAAGTATGAAAACTCGAATAGAATAAATTAAATGCTTCGAATAATTTGATTCCGAATTTTCGAATTTCGCCGTGAAATGTCGAATTATACCGAAGTTTCGAAGCTTTGTATATATCAAATAATACTATCCTTGCGCGATTCCTGAGATTTAAGCGTTGTTACGACTTTTAGCAACGTGGTAAACGCCTTTTGTCAGAAATTACGTTATATTTTATTGCTTAGAGCAAAAGGCTATAAACTTACTACACCTGTTGTGCATTCAGACTTACGAATAATCGAGTTCCGACGCGAGAAACTTATTTCAAGATGTTCGTATTTGATCGAATTCGGCTCTTAAAAGTCGTACGATGTAGACGTGGCTTTTATTTCCCCTGCGATTCTACAGTCAGTCGTATCGCGGTCGAAGTTGCTCTCGTATTCATTATTAAAATCCTACAATATAGGGACGCGAAGGATACACAAACATCGTCGGGAACGAAGACTATTCTTCTCTCTCGACGAGTCATGCACTGCGATTTAATCCCCGACTTCGTAACATAATTGAAACTGAAATATCGCCCGGTTGTTAGAGCGCGCTTCGCCCACGCGACAATCGCAATTAGCGGCTTCCGCGAGATTAAAATTCTTTCTCGGATCAGTGAAGCGCCGTAAAATCGCCTGTAAACGCTGATTTCATCGGCGATCGTGCCGCATCGCGCCGTAATGACCGCGATAACCGATTATGCTCCTGAATTATGAAGGAAGTTTTAAACCGCCCTTCATTGGCGAACGCAATTAATTAACGAGGTGCCGGCCGCGCCAATGAATTATTCGGCCGTCTCTCGACTTCGGGCTCCGCGATTTCGTGATCGCGTTCAACGAAACTGCTGGTCGTCGAAACGTTGGAAGTTGCGCGTGAGACAGATGCCCCGGTTGAAATATGTAAACGAGAATCGTTCCGGTTAATGCGTCTGCTTCTGCCTCTTGCCTTCTAACGCGTCTGGTTGGCGAAAAACCTAACGGATTGCCGGCACCGGATTGCGAGCGTCGTCGTCGTCAGCGCGGTAAGAAAGCTCCGTTCCTGCCATTGACAGCTGGAGAATGTCGCGAGACTCTTACGGCCGCGTGTCTTATATATCTCGCGCGCGGTACTTGAATTGGTAATTTAAGTATACGCGATTACGCACAGTGCTACTGTCGCGATCCGTTCCGCGACGAATGGTCTGTTCTTTTCAGTCGAACCGGCCGCGCCAGTTTAAGAAATCCACGCACACTGAAGCGTAAGAACCTCATACGTACGCTTCGTACACCGAGAGGGAAATATTTGCCGTTCGTAATTATGATCACCATAGTAAAATAATTATAATCAGGAAAACCGCGGGTAATGAGCGCGTTAACGATTCCTGAATTTTGCTGGCGCGACACGGACGCACCGAAAATGTGATTACATCAAACTGAAACGTGGCACAGGCCGTGCGAGTTTTCTTCCCCCTCAACCCTCCCCTCACTCCCTCGCAAGCTCCAAAATTGCTCGCAATTATACTTAAGAATTTGATCCCGCGAGCGAGCGACTTTCGCTCGACGACGTGATTTCTCTGGCGATATCGTCGCATACGAGGCGCCGAGCTTCGGTGCAGCGATTCGATGCGGTACTTTAAAAGTACGGTGGCAGCCGGCTGCACACAGCAGCACGCTGTCGTTTCGTCTAAAGTGTCGCGCGGGGCGGAGGAGGGAAACGCGCACGCCCGCTCGCGGAACATTGTATTGCGGTCTCCGGGAAGAAATTGCGCCACGCGAAATCCTATAGGTGCGGAATCGAATCCGGCGTCCCGGCCGTTTCCCGCCGTTGCTTTATTTCCCCGGCCTGGCCGCGCAGCTAAACGAGGCTAAACGGAATCCGCAACGGCACGTGTCCGAGGAGAAGAGGTAAGCCGCGAGTTCGCCCTTTGCCGTCCAGTTTCCGCCGTCGCCGTTCATTTCATACGGCGCGCGATTCCCTCCCCCCCTCCCCCCGAACTCAAAGGCAGAAGCTATTAACATCGTGACTTTTCTTCCGTTCAACGGCCAGAACTCATTACCACGTCGTATAAGAGTTCCGACAGTTTTCGAGGTAAAGTTGGATTAGAGGTTGGCAGCTCGTTAGCCGGCCTTATCGATCCCTCCTCTTGGGTACCATTGTGCTCGGCGTATTAATTAAAAAATGAAAATCCGGAGCCCGTCCAACACACGAGAAGCCCCGTAATCCCCCACCGTGCGAGCTCCGCACCCTTTTCTCCCGCCCCTCTTCGCCCCTTCTCCCTCTCTCGCTCCTCGTTTCCGCCCCTCGCTCGGAAACAGCCGCGAAGTTAAATTGCACCGGATCGCTTATCGATTTTCAATTTACTCTCGGTATCAATAATTCAATGAACTCGGGAGTACTACTTAAACGAACCTAGTGAAGTCTCAATGGGCCAGCCCATGGTTTATCTTTTCGTACCTCTTTCATAGTCAAGAGCGCTAAATTATGGCTCACTGCGAAAGACGCAGCGACGACGGTGTTGCCGACTTTGCGAATCCGATCGATAGAATATTCCGGATGGCTGGTGGAGCGCGCGCTAACCGAAACTCCGGTGGAAACGATCGGTCAGGCGTGCGAAGCAACACGTGCTCCGTCTTACCAAATCATTATCGGTGTGTCCCTAATCTAGCGCGGACAGGGGGGCAGGTTCAGCGCCGCGTTCGAATGTCTAACAAATGCGTGTTACGGACAGGTGAGGGTGCCGCGGTGACATCTCGCAATCACTCCGGCCCACCAATTTATCGAAAGAAAGACTAATGGTCGCCGGAGGGTTGCGCGTTGCACGCTGGATGAAGCCTCCAGCCCGGGGTGAAGAGTGGGGACGGGAGGGAGAGCGCGCGACGAGAGGAAACAGCTGTGCTGGGGAGGGGGGCAGTGACAGATACCAGCGTCGGAACCGATCGATCTGGAACGAAATAAAATATGCTCGCGAGAGCACGGGCGTAATTACGAGGGCCGAAGAAAAATACAGCGCGCCATTACCGGAGGGTTAAGTGAACCGATCGGGTTGTACGGTGAATAAGAGGGAAGGAGAGAACGATAGAGGAAGGGGGTCAGCAGTGGAATACGAGAGAAAAAGAGTGCAAGGGAGGGAAGGAGGGAACGAGAGGGAGGAAAAGGCCGAGATGGAAAGAGCGAGGAGTAGAACGAGGCGAGCGAAGCCGGAGGAGAGATATTACTCAGATAACTGAGACGTGGAACGAATGAACGAAGGGAACCTTGGAGAACGAGTAAGAACGAGTCGTAGTCGAGAACGTAGGAGGTCGGCGGGAGGAGCCTGCTTTCGCGGGGAACAGGGGTGGAAAGTATGGCTCGCGTGCTCGGACGCAAGTTCGCCTTGGCTTCCGGTTGCTCGCATGCTATGGATCCACTTGTATTAGGCTCACCGTACGAAGGAACGAACGCACGCCTGCCTGTCTGTCTGTCAGGCGCATAGTCGGGCACACGAACGCACGTGGAAAAACGCACACATTCGAACGCACGTAAGTCGCCCCGGTCAGAATTTAGCCCCAACGCGGAAGTTAATCGTCGGTTGAATTAATTCCCAAACTGAGAATGGCTTCTGCCGACAGAACCGGTTACCGTCTGGAAACGTGGAAAGATATCGGATAGTCGAGGGCGACTAATGTCGTCGGTGGAAACGCTAGGTTGCGGTGCGCTGCCACTCGCAAACGCGATTTCGATTGTGAGTTAGCGCGGATAAAAGGTTCGGGCACGAGGTCGCGCGTTTTGCTAAATTCATGCGACCCGGCCGCGACCTTCGGGTTCGGGGTGAGCTCCGATGCGGTTAGAGAAACTACGTGGAGTAGATACAATCGGTCGTTACAACTTTCGCGGCGAGGCGTATAAAAGCCATTACGCAGGCCAGATAATTTCTATTATTACGAGAATCGTGCGGAAGATAGCGGAAAGTTTCCCTGAGATATGCCGAATAATAGCTCTATCTTACGTGCATTTGTACGTCATTCGATACCGAGAGAACGGTTGCACACATATATGCGTATATACATAGTTTATTTATAAAGTCCTCTATTTCCCTTCAAAGTTTGTCGCTCTAATTTGTTAACACCCTATATGTATATGCGTACTTTTTTTCTTTTTCGTTTTCCACTTTATTTATCGAATTGCTTACACAGAAAAATGGAACACAATCGTGCACATGCGACGTGTAGGTTTCTTCTGCAATGAACACACTCTACAAAGGCTATTCAAAAGCCCGTGTGTTTTCTCTCGGTCCTTAATTATTACGCACAATATTTCGCTCGTGCGACAGATCCAGCCCCGCTTTTCAATAAAAGCTCCCGGTACGCGTTATTCAACGAGCTCCATCCGAACGACCACCAGAAATCAATGAAAAATTTCCAGGATTAATTTCGAGGAAAATGGCGCAAACACCATGTCCGCAACGTGTGCTGAATCAAAGTACTTTTTTATGACTCCCCTGATGCGGGGGTAGTTAAGTTAAATAATGAATGAGGATTGGCTAGCTGGGCCGGTCTGCTGGGGGTTCGGCTCGGGATACCGGAGTTGCTTTGATGTCTGGCGGCAGCCGCCGATTATGGAATCAATTATTGCGCGGTACTCCCTCTCTTTCGTCCTCTATCTTTTTCGAACTGCTCTCGTACTCGCGGCTTCGGGCTTCCGCTCTCGCTTTATTTCGCTCTCTCTCTCACACACCCACTCACTCATTCTATCTATCTCTATTTCCCTCCCTTTACCTTCCCTTTATCCCCTTTTCTCATTCTACCCATCTCTGTCTCGCGTTCGTGACGTGGGCGCGTGGAGGAAAAGATTTATTCCGTATAGGAAGAAATTACTCGGACAGTCACGGAGAACCGATTCCGCGAAAGGTCAGCGGAGCCCAGGTTCAGGTCCTCCACCCGCGTACATAAGGATACCGCTATTATCGTCCTATAATCTACGTCAATTACCCAGATGACGGACAGCACCGCGGAAATGGGATCTTAACTGTCAGTACGTGCCTATTTTTCTCGGCTAACGCTCGGAATTAATCCTAACGACAGTCTGCGCGATAAGACCATTGCGTTGATTTATCGCAATCATTGAGAGCAGTTGTACGCGAGCTCGTTAATATAATTTCTGAGGAGCCCGATTGATAATTTATTATTTACGCTTTTAGGTAAATGTATTATCATGTACCTTTATTTAGATTAATATAATTAACGCTGGGATCAAAGGTTTGTGGCGTCAAAGAAATTTCATCGGAATTTTAAGAAAAATCCTTGTATATTACATACGCAAATCGTCGTCGTCGATAACGTCATTGTTTCCTTACAATCTATCAGTCTAACTTAGCCTGTACACTGCACTGATAGAAAATTATAGTTACTTTTAATCCAACTATACCTTTTTTTATTCTAAGCGCAAAAATAGTAGTAACAATATGCATGTAAAGTTATTATCACTGGCGCTAATACTTACTAGAAAAACTGGTTCTACTGACTATTTTTGTGGTTAACATAAGAAAAGAATATTATCGGGGCCGGAAATAATTATAATTTTCTATCAATGTGCGAAGAGTTACTTATAACGGTTCGCAAATAATACTGTTCATCGACAATTAGCTCTTGTTCTTCTTGCCCTCTTTGATGGAGATCACAAAGCGCTGTGCAACATTGAACGGCGGCGAGTAGCCGTCACTATACTCGACGTCCTCAAACAGCATCTGGTATTCCTCCGCGGCAGTGGTCGGCAGTTGAATCACGATCGCCTTGTAAAAGCAGGTCGTTTGCGGGTACAAGGCCATTACGACGGAGCCTTTCGGAAATAAGGCGTGCGGGTCGGTCTCGGGGTTCGCTCTCATCAGTGGTAACGGCACCACTCGTCTTCGCGACAACGTATGACGGACCTTCTGCTCCTCGTCGATATCGTCGACCTCGTACTTGTTCGTGGCGGGATTGAATTGCACAACCTCCGCGAGTATCCAGTTCTCCTCGTCTTGATCGGAACCCGGTTTGGCCAAGGCGGCTACCATGTCGCCCATCTTCGCGATGTACGACGGTTCGGCTGGTATTGCGCCGCACAGAGGCGGAGGCTTGGCACCGGGCGTCTTCCCCACGTAAAGAGGCAAGGTCTGGGCGGTACTCAGCAACATCTTCATCAGCGCACCGCGTCTGGTGGTCTCCTTGTTGCCGGTGTTCTTCAACTGAATGCGAAATTCGTTCCTTATGACGCGTATCTCGTTGATCTTGTCGAGGGTCTTGCGCAGCACGTCCTCTTCCTGCTGGGCGTCGGCTATCGCGGCGTTGTACAAGTTCTTCAGTTTCTGCTGATAATAAAGGGACACCTTGTCGTCCGGCGTGACCTTCTCGTGGGTCTTCATGATATTGTTCAGGTTGAACTCGGAGCGATTGCGGTGCACGTCTATCTCGCGCAAGAGATTGTAAATGCTGGAGAGGCGCTCATTTATCTGCTGGCTCACTATCGCGTCCGTTAACGTGAACGGCATTGTGAGAAATATGAAAATCACAAGTCTTGCGACAATACGACAGTCTTTCGATACTAATCGCAATCGTTCAAGCGGTCATCTATAAAGCGCACTGTAAGTCTGTTCTTTCCTTCTTTCTCTTTTATTTAAATCTCTTTCTTTTTTACGGGTCTTTTAGTTAAGTTTTATTGTTTGGTTAGGTGATATTGCAGTGTATAAATTTAATCCTAATTGGTCGATTTCCCCAGTACTATGAATCGTTTTTCTGCAACAAAATAATCGCTTTCTGGGCTATCGGCATTCCAAAGTTTCGTCGTTACCTCATTGTTATTTTAAAATTGATTTAATCTAACAAATATATATTATTGGTATCTCAGATGTCTAGATTTAGGAATATAAAAGTTACGTCGGATAGAGTTTTCAGTTTCTCGCGTTTGAACACGTGCGGTTGTGATTAAATTTCGCGACCCGTCATTCGCGTACTACCCGTTCTGCAGTACTCGCCCCAATATGGCCGACGCTGAACACGTTGGTGACTGGGTCGATATACGTACCCGCTTTTCGCGAGCTATTGTGTATCCCTTCTCGGACGAATTCTCGGTGGATCTCGTTCCGGCTCGAGAGTGAGGCCTTGGTGGAACCGTTCCAGACACCGGTAGCTTGACGTGAGCCTCTCTAACGCGAAGTTTCATGCGGCACTAACCGTTCCCTCATGTTACCCGATCGACCGTAGACGCGCATCTGCGTCATACTGCTTCCCCCACTACCGCTCTCGCAGTCGGTCGTTACGGCTCTCTACCAAGGCGATGCTGCCATCTCACGACCGCGTTCGGAAACGATGTGACGGCGATAGTATTGTCCGTAACGGTACGCCGAGTCGCTGCTGCTCAATGCCGCGCCGGTTCAACCAGTCAAAATGGGATGTATTTTCCTCGTATAAAGAAACAAATCGCCGCGGGCGATTCTGTTCTCCTTTCCTTTAGATTGCGCCTCGGTGTTTGGTCTGATAACACAAGTGAACGGCGTATTTGAGTCTTACTAGTCGAATTTACCTCTGCGTTTGAAATGCTCCAACCGGCAAAACCCTCAATGTACAGGGACGATCTTTTGTACATTAGTAGAAAATTATATTAGTTTCGCCGTCAAACATAACATTTAATCACGAAAATAATCGGGGGAACCATTTTTCTAATAAATGTTACTATAATGTCAACGATAACAACGTTTTATAGTCTTATATGTATGTTGCTACTGCTATAAAATATGTTTAGCGCTAAAACTTACTATAATTTTTTTTATTCCTCAAGAATGTTAATTTACTAGATATTTTGTTTTTATTCAATACGCTCAAAAGTTACGAATTTTTTTCCTTCGAATAGGAAAATTGTATGTTTCTCTTCTGCGTTCTCCTCAGAGAAAAAAATTATAAACACTGAAGATTAAACAATATTTATAATCGAAAGTAGAGACCTGAAATAATGTCAAAACATTGTTCTCCGATTTGTTTACTTACAGCTAGCGAGAGAAGTGATTCTGTCCGCAAATGGCCCACAAATAACGCGGAAAACAAATAACGGTAGCGGAAAGCAGCGAATTATCCCGGGGGGAGTTAATTAATTGATGTATTTTTAATATTTTATCATTTTACTTATCGCTACATATTATTTTATTAAAGAAAGACTGGAAATATACTGGTAGTTTATATTTGCTCATGTTCACACTTAGTCGCAATGATTCGTGTCGCACTGTTACGCCTATAATAAGATTATACCTGAGATATTCCATTAAATGTGCGAGCCAACGTGATCAGCCGCCCTATCGTGAGGTATGTGCGCGTTTGAATGATGAAGTCGTTTCGATACGCGAAAAATGGCTGTGTGCGGATAATTTTTCTCGGGGGGAACTCGTTCCTCGATCCAATCATACATCGTATCGCATAGACGGGTTGGTTGCGGGCGGGGAGGCATAACATTGAATGTGGCGTGTATCATCGCTAACAACCAACAGGTTAACCGCGCTAACAGCATCGATAGCACCGCAGAATGCCATAACTCATTCAAAGGTAGGGCTTGGGAAAACTGAATCTAATCTTCTGATTAAACGCGTACTTCCGCGCGGCGCCGACCGTCCGTTTTTGCACGCGGCCAAATTCCCCGAATTGAATAACAACCGGTCGCGATTTAACAACGGAGTGACGAAACGCACAATCGGGACGGTCCGAGAAAACGACTCGATTTTTCATCGCTCCGATCGTTCAAGCCGACTGTTGAAACCGCCGAAGCGCGATATTTAAGCGCACCCCCGCTCTTTTCCGTTCTTTCTCAATTTATTCTTTCAATCCGTCATAAAAGCACAGCAATTGCCGCCGACATTTCGGCGGCACTACGCGGATCGGGGACAGAGAAGGCATCCACCGGACGCGATAGCAATCCACCGATTATTCCCGCCGATCGTTCCGAGCGTTTCGACGAGCGACGTTTGAAGTAGCATCCGTTTCGATCAATCGCGGCGATTCCGCCGTGAAAACGCGCGTCGCTCCCAGATACGCGCATATCGCATATCGGCGCGAGGTGTGCGTTGTCGTTGCTGCTGCAGCAGTGCATCGTGCGCGCATCGGACGCGCCGTGCATCATCGCTAACGGCCGGTTAACCGCGCTAACAGTGCGCCGATAACGCACCGAGAAACGCCGCATCGCACGCGTGCAACTCCCGTGGACCGCGACTGCCTTGCCACTCGAGGGCACGCGTCTATATATTTACTTCGCGCACACCTGCCGATATACACGCACTCGCCGTAAACGTACCTGACCGCGCGACGGCTACGACGTCCGGCCTCTTACGAACTCCGTGACCTGTCCACCGCAATTGAGATACACGTGTCATGCGTACCGCATCGTCGCGAAATCGAGATTTTCTCGACGTCAAAAAGTAACATGTCACCGAAGTAGATAGATTAATTTAGCATATATTTGTGTTCGCTTAAACATATTCCCCGCGTTAAAGTGACAGAGAATTTCAGTGAGCCGCGATGTTTTCAACACAAAATTCTTTATTGTAAGAACGGCGTCATTTGGAAAATATCCTTCCTTCCGTCCGATATTTCTTCTCTTAAATCAGAAAGATTATTCCTGAACGAACAAAAGTCATACTTTCAGCAGAGCTATATGGAATTTCGTCGTGTAGGAATTTATGCTTGCTTCGTGCGAGTTTTATCTTCATGTAAGATTACGAATTTTTGCTTGTACATGAAAATATGAGACTTGAATTGATATCAATTTTTCTTCCGTATATCGAGCGCCAAATATTCCCGATTATCGAGCGAAAACGACGTTAACTCGTATAAGAAAAGCAGAACTAGGAATGAAAAGGTCGTACTTAGCATTCGCTGTACGCGGAGAACAGAGTTGCTGCTACGTTCCGAGCGTCGTTCCGTACGTACGTGAATGATACGTGCGATCGGATGCATTAATGTTGTCCGGTGTGCCCGCATTCGCGAGGAGATCCCGCGATACGCGACTCACCGATTCCCGCCAATCTCTCGCGAAATAAAGCGGTCGAGGCGTGTTATCAGCTGCGCGAAGCAGAAAGTATCATTCGAAGATTATCGGTGGAATTTTTCATTGACAAGTCGAAGATCAACGGACGGCATTAACGCGGCCAATTGCACGTCGTACGCAGCAACAACGCAGCGGCGCACGATAGTGACCCCGGCGGAATGTCTGAAATCGCCGCGCGTTTATCGTGGGAGATCGTCTAATCTCGCTCGGCCGTCGTATATATTCTCCGCGTGGCACGTGCAATTAGCGGTACATTCGAGCGCGCTTGCATTATCATCGGCTATCGTCCCCGTCATTCGGCTTTCTGAGCATTGATTTATAGCGCGTCCGCAACGGCGTAATTATTGACCGACGGCTGCTGCCGTCGCTGCTGCTAGTTTGCGAGCGGGGGACGAGTTTCGCGTTGCGAAATCATTGATAATGCGGCCCACCGTTGCTTTGCGTATAATGCGAACAAATTCACTTCGCGTCGCGCCGCACGACGGCGATTCATACCCGGGCGCGATGTGCCGCGCGATCAACAATTTAAATTAGCCGCGCGGCTTTTACAACTCAATTCCCATCGATTAAGTATGAAGTATGCGTATTCCGCGGTGTGTGACAGTGCCGTTGCTGCTTAGAGGCTGTCGTCAGGTTGCGCGTGCGACGGGATAAAAAGAATCTAACGAGAGACCCGTTTGTTCGACCGTCGACGGAAAACCGGACTTCTATAATTGATACTATGTTATCTAGTATTATTTGCGATGTAACGTGTAATTAAAGTGGCGATATAAATAAGCGTTGTCAGCGGAGTTAGTACTTGGTTAGTACTTTATTAGCGTTGCGTCGCTAGGTGGACTCGAAAATATCGAGGTATCGGCATTAGTAATTTATATGATTGCTCGCTGCTGTCATCGGGTAGTTTCTATATACCTGGGATAAGTACCGGAGGAATTATCCGCGTACCTGCGAATTAACCGGTGACTGTCAAAGTACCCATTCATTATCTACAGTGCTATTACAAATTACCAGCAGTTTGACGGTCTCGAATATGACATTCGCGCTAACTCGTACTCTAGTAAAGGAAGGTTCAAGAGTGTCCTTCGCCGAATTTTACAAGCTTTCAATATATCATAGAGAAGTAAAAAAATAAAATACGAATTTTTTAAACACCTCCTCACTTCAGAGATTAAAAGAGTTTGTTTGTGTTAAGCTAATTGCATTTATTTAATTATAAGTGAATACCTGAGTCGAAATTAAAAATTCGACATTAAATCTTCAAGTGGAGGAAACAGAGGTAGATTCCTTGTTCAAAGGTTCATAAAAATGAGAGGCACTTCTATCCCTTGCAAGTGCCAATTTTGTCTTCTAATTAGCGGGCCATAAATTCATAGTTTGCCGCGAACGTAACGTCGATTTTACGATCATAATCGCGCCGGTATTATGCACGTATATAGGTCTGACGGAGATCTTGTAAAATGGAGCGTATCAGATACTATCAAAGCTCGCACGTTTCGTCTCTCGTTTCCTAATTGCTCTGATGAAACTCGGCGCCAAGCACTCATGCTCCGTCGCCGGGTGGAAATCAAATCCTTTTTACACGTCTGACACGGGTGCAACCGCGAATGGGCCATTAAAACGTGTTACGGTGTGACGACGAGCTCAGCACCGTCAGCTCGGAGTATTACGTACGTACATACGTACGTGTGTAGATACGTTTCGAAATATGGAACAAGGTGTCTAACGAGGCGTAAGAAGATCCTGGGCCTCGAGCTAAATCCTTTTCGCGCCCTTCGTCTGGATACGCGTATTCTCTCGCTGACACCCATTTCGTCTCTCATCACCGAATTCGCCCGACTAGCCCCGCGGCATATTTTGAATCGCGATGCGTTGAACATACAACGGCAATTAACAGACGGGGTTTCGTAAGTTAGGGCACACCTTCCAGACATTCTTGTCTTAGCCGTATATAAAGAAAATTATAAGCTTTACTTAACACTTTTTCCAAATTTTCTTCTTAATTTCATTTTTGTTACGTACCTATTAAGGGGCTATACGTGCCCGAGTGGCTGAAAAACGCGCAATGTTTGAATTTTCTGCTGACCACGTTATTGACTTTACGAAGATGTCCTTTAGAGAGATGATTCTTCAACTGCTTTTATCTACATATTACACGAAGCATATTACATGTAAATAAAGGTACGAAAAATCACCTCTTAAAAGAACATCTGCAATAACGGCCAGCAGAAAAATTCAAA